AGTCTCTGTTCGATGCGATAGCAGCTAGGGCGTTGGTGCTAGTGTTGGCGGATCGGTCGATCTGATTAGCTCGAAGGTTGTGAACTCTGCGGCTAGCTGTTTCCCCAGCTTTAAGTAGGCGTCCATTCGATCGTCCTTCGCGTCGTACTCTCCACTGAACTGTTTGGCGACGAGCTGCAAATTGCTGAATCCCTGAATATGTTGAACGTTCATCTCTCGAGCAAGACGGAGACCTCCGATCAGTGCTTCGTACTCGGCTTTCTTGTTGGATGTGCTAAACTCCAAGCAGAAGCATTGTTCGAGAAGTTCTCTGGTAGGAGATTCCAACAGGATGCCGATTCCAGCTCCTAATCGAGATGATGCTCCGTCGATGTGTAGTGTCCACGTCTCTGAACTCACCGGGTCGGCGTTCAAAAGCTCGGGTGACAGTTCGATCAAGAAGTCTGCCAAAACTTGGGATTTTGTAGAGGTCCGTGTTTGATACTCGATATCGAACTTGGATAGTTCGATGGCCCACTTTGCCATGTGTCCGGATTGTGTCGGGCTGTGCAGGATCAAACGAAGAGGTTAGCTAGTCAGGACGGCTATGGATTGAGACTGGAGGTAAGGTCGCAGCTTTCGTGAAGCGACGACCACCACCAGGGCAAGCTTTTCCAAGGTTGGATAATGAGTCTCCGCACTATCCAAAGTTTTGCTGAAGTAGAAGATCGGCTTCTACTCCCCACGGTCTTCTTGAACCAGGACGCCGCTGATTGCCGCGCTGGAAACTGCTATATAGAGTAGCAGAGTATCACCGTCTTCAGGTTTGGCCAGGATCGGAGGTATCGAGAGTTATGTCTTGAGTTGCAGGAACGCGTCTTCGCACTTTTCATCCCACTCTAATCGTTTGTTGCCTTGTAGAAGCTGGTAGAAGGGAAGACACTTGTCCGTGGATCGAGATATGAATCGATTCAATGCGGCTATTCTCCCTGTCAGGCGCTGAACTTCACGAGTATTCCTCAGTGAGGGTAGCTCCAAGACCGCGGAGATCTGCTTGGGATCGGTTTTGATACCGCATTGAGTGACCAAGTATCCTAGGAATTCACCGGATGTGACCGCGAAGGTGCATTTTGCGGGATTGAGCTTCATGCCATACTCGTTCAGTATTAGAGATCGTCTGCTTTAGCCGATTTGATGAGCATATCGTCTATGTACACCTCCATCGTCTTCCCGAGCTGATCGGCGAACATCTTGTTCACGAGGCGCTGATAGGTGGCTCCAGCGTTTTTCAAACCAAACGGCATGACCTTGTAGCAATAAGTTCCTCGATCCGTAGTGAATGCGGTCTTCTCACTGTCGTCCGGATTCATGAGAATCTGATTATATCCTGAGAATGCATCCATGAACGAGAAGAGTTTGTTGCCCGCGGCAGCCTCGACGAGCTGATCGATACGAGGAAGAGGAAAACTGTCCTTTGGGCGAGCTTTGTTGAGGTATGTGTGCCACTTCCCGTTCTTCTTCATGACTACCACCGGGTTGGCGAGCCACTCCGGATACTTGGTTTCGGCGATTGATCCGGCCTTCAGCAGCTTATCTACTTCATTGTGAACGGCTTGTGCCCGCTCAGGTCCTAACTTCCGTCGCTTCTGTTTGATCGGCTTGAAAGTGGGGTCTAGCTTTAACTTGTGATTTGTGATTTGAGGGCTAATGCCTTTCATATCAGCCATAGACCACCCGAACATTGCGACATTCTCCCGGCGGAAGGTGATCAGCTCGTCCTGCATACTTGGCAATAGCTCCGTGCCGATGCCAATGCAATGTTCGGGGTGGGCAACATCGATGTTGACTTGGACAATGAGGTTGCTCTTTGGCTTTTCGTGGTGGATTATCCGTGGATTGAAGTCGCTACTACTGTCGATCACGAACGTCGATGCCTTGCGAGCGCGCTGTTTGTTGGCGTAACAATGCCGAGATACCGTCTGATCACCACGGATGGTGAAGATGCGGCCTCTGTTCGGCATTTTGATGCACTGGTGGTAGGGAGATGGGACGGCCCGCATGGCGTTCAGTCAAGGTGTTCCCAAGATAGCATTGTAGATCGCAGGTCGGTCGATGACCTCGAACGTGACCTTAATGGACTTTTTTCCTACGGTGACGGGCATTGTTATGGTCCCGATAGTGGTGATTGAATCTCCAGCAAACCCGGTGAGAGGTGATGGTGCGATCTTGATGTCCCGCTCGGGGATACTCATCTTGCGTAGAGTGTCCATAAAGATGAGATCGACTGAGCTTCCTGTGTCAATCAGTACCTTCGAGATATCATCTTCTCCGAGCCGAAGTGAGATGACGAGCGGATCGTTATGTGAGCGGTCGATATTCTGCGTGTCTTGCTCCGTAAACGTGATCGGGAGATCGTCTGTGTACAGCGGTGGGGGTCCTTCGGAGGATTAGCTGCCTTCCGCTTGTGTCGTTTGATCGAATTAATCGAGTCAGTACACGAGAGGACTCCTCCCATAATCATGTTGATCTGCCGGCGCGGTGAGGTCAGGGGTGTGTGATCGTTTTCACGGTCACATTTTGCTTCCTTCCCTTCACGTTTAGAAGATGGATGATCAGCATCGGATCTTCTATCTTGATCGCTCTCAGATCGTCTATCCTGATCATCATCAGATTGCCGCGCTAGGCTCCGAGGCTCCGGTATGCTGCACTCACCAGCTTCCCACGCCTTCCGCAAGAGGGCCAGAAGAGTGCAGCAGTCGTCGGTGTGATGGCCGTGCGCCTTGTGGTATTTGCACCATGGCTTCTTACTGTCTGGATCTTTGTCGTTCAAACGGTCCCAAATGTTCCACCTCTTTGGTCGTCCGACGGCGTTAATACTCTTACGGCTCTTGTCATCCTAGTCGTAGTGCTGACGAGGCTCTTTGTAGTCGTCTTGATTCGACAATCTGGGTTTCTTGTCGCGCGAAGATTTTTCATCAGCCAACTTGGCCTTGGCCTTGGCTGCCCGATCTTCTTCGATCTTGATATAGCCGGTTGCCTTATGCAAAGCATCTTCTAGGGTTTTGATTTTCCCGGTTTTCAACCGTTTGCAGTACGATTGATCGTCTCTCAAGTTCCTGATGAGGATGTTGAGAGATAGCTCGTCCGACAGACTGCATCTGGAAACGATGGATCGGAATCGGTCGATGAAGTCGCGCAATGGTTCCGTGTCTCCCTGGACACACCCCCTAGATCGAGCGTCGTAGACTCTGTGTTAATGTAGATCGAGTAATAATTAAGGAACCGAGCTGTAAGTTCCTTGTAGCTGTCAATGGAATTTTTAGGAAGCTGCTAGAACCAGGTGAGGGCGCTTCCAGAGAGTGTCGCCACGAAGTACTAACAGAGGCATGCATCCCGTTCTTCTTCGGTGAAGCGAGCTCGCCCTATGACTGCGTTGAATGCGGCCAGGTGTCGCTTCGGGTCTGTCGTGCTGGTGTAACATGGAGGTAACTTCATCCGGCCTATGTCCTTGAGAGGGGCCTTGGTGATAGCCGATGTGAACGTGGTATGTTGCGTTTGTTGGAGGATTTTGTCCAACTCTGGTGCTGATGCCGTCGCCTTATGGATCTTGTTGTTGATGTCGTCAAGGCGTTGATGGAGAAGGTCGAGTTCTGAAACCGTCGTCAGGTTGGCACCGGTGATGTTACGGGATGAGCGAGCGTTGGAGCCTTCCATATGTGCTCTTTGTAGGTCGTCTGTCGGTGTGGTGCCGAACAGGTTGTTGACAAGTCTAGTAGTATCTGCGTTGCAGATAGGCGGGCGCGGGGGCGTGATCAGATCGGCCGGCTCTTGGGTATGAACCCTAGCGTTGAGAAGCCGATCTAGGTCTACTCGATAGGCGATCTGTTCGGCTCAGAGGGACTCGAAGCGAGCATCCATGCCCTGCTGTAGCTGTGTCGCGACCGATCTGATGATAATGGCCATGTCGATAGGAGGTGGCTGTGGCAGGTCGGCCAGGTTTGTTCCACCGGTCTGGCTGACCTGATCTGTCGCGCCTGTGTTCTGTGAAGCAGTCGTGTTGTCAGTCTGTATGTTGGTCTGATCGTCCATCGGAAGTCCGGTGATCGGATCGACGATCGGGCCCTGGGTGTTTTTGGTGAGATCGGCAGCTCCTCCTGCACGATCAGTTGATCATCCGGTGAGATCGGTAGTTTCCGTGGTAAGGTCGGTGGTATCAGTGTTGATCGGTGTTCCAACCATCTTCAAGCTCCGTTCTTTTCAAAGATTGTTCTCTTATTCCCCACAGACGGCGCCAATTGTGAAAACTCAAGTTTGACTTATAGAAGAGAACTATGGTTTGTGGGTTTAAAGAGAGATCTTTATTAAGTTAAGCTGGAGCTTGAGAGATACAAGATAGTTTAGGTCGTCGAAATAAGAACGCCGACCTAGACTTTTAAAGAAAGTAAATCGAGAGCTAAGAACAATAAGATTGCTTAGTTTGCCCTAAGTCTCGAAAGAGTATTTTTGGATGATTTGAGAAGTCGTAGACTTCCCATATTTATAGTCGGTCTTCAGCATATGTTCGGAATAGGAAATTCTTCTTGCAGATAAGACCGAACTTCCTTTTTTTCTGGGTTCACTTGATAAACGGAAGATTTCCATTTATTTAGCCGACCTGGACCTAGTAAGATAGGCCGACCAGAATTTATATCAGGCTTGTAGAAATGGTATGTATCTCATCTTTAACAGAGTTCTGTGACACACGTCAATGTTTTTATGAAAGAATTATTTTTCCATATTCTAAATATATAGGGATTATTTTCTCCGAAACTCAGGAATTGGTCAAACAAACCAAACATATAAGCCTCTCAGGAATTGTTGACCAATAAAATAAGTCTCTAAGGAATTAATAAGAATTCGTTGAATATGTTTATGTTAATTGATTAATATATTAGCATATGAGTCTCCAGAAATTTTGTTTTGGTCAACAGTCTTGAATTAATAAGAACATAATCTTTAGTTTCTTTCTAGCCTCCTCGGCCTTAAAACTATATAAAACCCCTTTTATCTTTCCTCTTGGAAATCAATCAACTCTCTTTCTTGTTGATCAAAATGGAAGTGAGAGGTCCATTGATGTGGGTGTTCTTGATGTGTTACATCTTCGGTCACATAATTACAAGTCATTCCAGTGGCTTTATCGAAGCGACGAGCTTGACTCAATCTGAAGCTCTAGAAATTGAGAAGAAATTAGAGACATTCAACAAACCTGCCGTTAAGATCATCAAGGTTCAATCATTATCTTGTCGTAAATATATATCTATAATCCTATTAGTCTACACTTCAGTTTAGCCTGATATATATAGTTTTTTTTCTTGATTAAATTTTATTAATTAAAAAAAACTGCATGAGTGAATTATATAATAAGCTTTATATTTGTGGCTTCAAATGATAGACTATCTATGGAGAACTATATGGATGTGTGGACTTCTTCAAGCAACCAGCATTTGATCACCCTTCTATGAAAAATCACAAATATCATTACAAGGTATAATTTTGGATGCATTCCTATATGTAAATTATTTATATCTGAAACTTAAAGAAATATTTTTTTCCGTCAAATCTTAGATGCGTCCAATATGGCAACCCGAAGGAATGAGAAAAAGAAAGATAAATAACACTGGATTTGGTTACTTATGGGAGAATGGTGTGGGATGTCCAATCGGTACCGTCCCTATAAAAAGAGTCACCAAATTTGATATCTTGGGATCAAACTTGTTAGAAGATCAATACAAACCTCGTGGTTCTTGGGACACAACCACTAATGATTCTAATAACGTTGTTCATTACAACCAACATCATGTAAGTTACTTTTTAATTTAATAACCTAATCATCGATTAAAATTTTGATATATTTGAATGATAATACATTTGGTTTTTGAATGGATTTAGTATGCGGTGGGTAGGACTAGGGACATAGGAATACACTACCATGGGGCAACAATGGATCTTAGTATAACTGCTCCTAAGGTTAAGCCTACTCAATTCAGTAGTTCTCGGCTTCACATTCAAATTGGAGATGATTTCATCCAAGCCGGGTTCACTGTAAGTTACTTAATCGGTTTAATAACCAACAAAATATTATGCTACATATATACATTCTTCTTTTTTTCTTATAAAATGTTCTATAAGTTTTATTTGTTTCATTTGATTTTAGTTTTCAAGTTTTTAAGCAAATTGATTTTGAAATTGTTTGTATTTTGCTTTCTATTTTTTAATGTTATTGGTTGAATTAATTTTAGTAAAATAGTAAATAATGTTTTTGGTATATGCACTATTTTAGGTAAATCCAGTGTTGTACAAGGACCACCAACCTCGGACTTTCGTCTATACAAAGGTAAGAATCAGTCACAGCATGCTAGTAAAATTCTCTGGTATATATTATGGAATTGTCAAAACAAAATTCAGGTTAATCGAATTATTTAGATGACCTTTTCCACATAGAAAGAGCAATCAAATTTTTGATAATCTAGCTTTCAGTTTTTTCTATGCAACGTGATTAACTATAAGGATGTATATTGTTGTGACAGTCTGGTGGAAAATCATGTTACAATAGCCACTGCGATGTGGGAATGGTGAACGTACGTCAAGATTTTCCAATGGGTCTAGCAATGAAGCCAGTGTCTGTTCGTGGTGCTCCTATAAGTCACTATGGAATCTTCGGTGTGATCAAGGTCTTATTTATCTCTTTACGGCATTTTTTCCTATTTCAATCTCATCGTATGCTATATTTAGGGTATTATCTTGTGTTTTCTTTATAAAAGTTTTACAATGTGAACATTTATTATTTTGTAATAACAGGACCAAGCAAATGGGAATTGGTGGTTGCAATTTGGTAATGATGCAGAAGAAGTCGGGTTTTGGCCGTCAAGTAGGTTTCGTCAAAGCTTTGGAAACAAGGTTGAATGGGGAGGAGAAGTGTACAGCGCATCACTACCTAGTCCTGAAATGGGACAAGGATTTCGTCCAATTAAGAGACTAGATTATGATGCATATGCTAAACGTATCTCGATACTCGACGGTAATTATCGGGTCGACTGGAAAGTAAATTATATCGAAGAATTTACGGACAACTCCGAAGGCTACGACGTGAAAGGAGTTCTAGAATCCAAAGTCGCTAACAAAGGTCATATAATCTTTTTTGGTGGTTCGGGAGGAATCTAAAAATAGTTAGATCCTTGTCATATCGATGGATATCAAGACATTACATAGATTTGCTTTTACAATAAATATTGTTTTTATGGGCTTTTTAAAAAATATAGTTATAATCAATTGATGAGATTTATCATACACACAAAAACATTAATAAATAAGAATATTATAAAAAAGCATTTTTCCAAAAGCACTTTGTGCAACTAAAATAATTTCAACTATTTAAATGATAATATTAACTTTTTTTTATCTCTCTTTTTTCTCTCTCTCTTTTTAACAACAAAAATTAAAATATTTACCATGTTAATTGCGCGAAGATAAAATCTGCATTTTAGCAAATTTTGAAGTATAAAAGTTTGGTAAAACACAAAGCCTTAACTGATTCAAAATAAAACTATTATGTATATTTATATGGATATATCATCGTGGACATACCAACATTTATACCTTGTTGTTTTTGTATATCTATATGATATATGGATAACCAAAACTCTTATCACTATTTGTAAACCACCATAGATATTCATATGGACGCACCACCGGATATACTAATAATTATACCTTGTTGTCTTCGTCTATCCATATGACATATTCATTATGAACAACCAAAACTTTTATTACTATTTATAAATCACCGTGGACATCCATGTGGATATATCACCATGGATATACAAATATGTATATCTTATTATCTTCGTCTATCCATATACCACGTTCACCGTTGACAACCAAAACTCTTATCATAATTTGTAAACCTTTGTGGACATCCTTTTGGATACACCACTATAAACATATCAACATGTATACCTCATTGTCTCCATTGATTCATGATCCATTAGCTATGGACAACCAAACTCTCATCATTAATCTTTTTCCACTCTAAACTAAATATTCCTTTAATATTTTATGGAATCTACCTCATTTTCAAGCACAATTAGTCCTTTATTTTTTCTTTTTTCTTATAGCTCTTAGTCTCGCTATTCTGATTGTAATCTACTAATTTTTCTCTTATTTCATGCAAGCTTCCATCTCATTCAGTTCTGTGATCAGTTATAACTCTAAATCAAGAGAATTTTAGTTAGAGTTGGCTAGACAGAGCAAAATATTTGTTCAAATACTACATATGTTTTGATGGGTTTTTATATCAAAAAATTATGCATAGTTGATAAATTGTTGATTTTAATTGATTTGAGGCGTTTTTTTTTCAATGATGAGCTACCTGACTATATTTGTGAATGTGTGAGAATATTTTTGTCTATTTTCATATCATGTGAATGTAAACAACATGACTATCTTAAAAAGTATAATCAATAATCTTGTTTTAGTTTATTTATATATTTTAAATTAAAACTCATATATTATCCGGTTGATGAGTAATGTGATCGCATATCAATTTTATATTACCATCATTAAAAAAAAAGGTTGATAAGTATTTGCCATTTTTTTCTCCTTCGTATAAATCAAATTTATTTCTATGCTATATAATTACACACTTTATTTTTCTTTATTTATGAAAAAGTTTCATTCATTTTATACAGTAAAGTAGATATGAATGATTTTACTTTAGTTTTAAGAATTAATATTTCAGAGCATTTTTAAATAAGTTTGATAACTATTCTGAGCAAATTCTTCTGTCATATTTCGTAACTGTTCATTTTCCAACTCTTTATTCAAATTATGTTTGTTTATATTCAAAATAACTTTTTGAATTTTTTATTTCAAAGAGAATTCATAGTTTTTATAGTTTATAAAACAAATATTTGTTTAATATATATGATTTTATTTTAGCCATATATATATATATAAATCTTTCTAAGGTTTTTTTATAAAATTTTGATAATTATTTTCTGTAAGTTTTTCGAAAAATTCTTCCAAACTTTTTTTCACAAATGAAGAATTTGTAATTTTTTATGATTTGTAAAATAAGTATTTATTTTTTTAAAAAATTAATAATATTAAAAGCTCAAAAATAAATACCCAAAATATAAAAAATAAAAAACAAAACCTAAAATATTTAAAAGCCTATTTTAAAATAAAAATTATGCTGATGTGGATACCTTAGATGGAGAGATAACTTGCTCATTATATATATGATTTGAAGTTTTTTTAATAACATTGAAATTAACAGTTAAAATTTTCAAAAAACAAACTTACCAACATATATATATTTATATTAGCTTCGATTTCGGTTTGTATGCCATGAACTAGTGAGACTGGACAAAGCTCTCGGTGTCGCTCTTGTTTTTTTGTGCATTGGTCGTTTCCATGATCTTTTCTTTTCTTTTCCAAGTTTGGGGGCACTTGGTAAACGGTTGGTCCGGTCCGGTTCGGTTTGAAACTTTGGTTCTTCCATTTGTTCGGTTTGGCGATAATTCTACCGAGTTGAACCAATTAAAAACTAAGATAATTTTTTTTTAATAATGCTTCTCAAATAAGGGAGGTTCGTAATATTGGTCGTACCGTAATTGGTAAATGAGGAATTGTGGGATTAGGAGGAACCTAGCTGAACATATCACCAGTTAAATGGAATTGTAGAATTGATGTATAACTGTGGAATCATCTAATGACAAAATCATAATATGTTAATTTAATAAATAGTTTAAATTTAGAAATAATATCTTTCTAATTTGTAATATTTTTTTTTTTATCTTATTTCATATAGAATATATTTTTAATATTATAAATCAAAATTTTGTATGTTTTTAATTATGTTTCATAGTAACTAATTTGATAATATGGTAAGTTTGTGTGCACAACAAATAAAGATCAAAACAATATAATTTTGAAAAAACAGTCAGGTGTAAAATCATATTGTTTTTGATGGTTTGTGTGTTAGCTGAGATGCTCCAAAGTTATGAAATACTAATTCTGCAATCATCATGTGATCTTTTCTCGTGTTTTTTCCTTATTCATACGATTTCAGAAACCACTTCCCAAAAAATCATCTATCATAGTACTATTCCAGCTCAAACGCTTAACTTTAGAGTTTTTTCAAGACCAATAACCGAAAAAATAAGTATACTTTGATGATATGGATAGCTAAATCAATTCTCTTAAATCTCTCTACATATATATTCATACTCTTGAAATCGAAATGTTACAAAATCACTATGAAAGCTTCGGTATAATCAAGGTTTTCTTCATAATTCTTCTCGTTTTCTTTTCTAATCAAGTTATGATGTACAACATGTTAGTACTCATTATGCGCTGCACACTTCTTCAAAAGAGGTATGGTTTTTGTACTCATTACCATGTAAAATTGTTACTAGTAGTCAATATGATTCATTATTTAAGGATGCATAATTACTCACTGTTTCTTAGTGTATAATGTTAAAATCTACTAATCAAATCTGACACCAGGACCAAGCAAGTGGGAATTGGTGGTTGCAGTTTGGTATAGATGCAGAACGAATCGAATTTTGGCCATCGCATAGGTTTTGTCAATGCTCTGGAAACTATGTTGTGTGGGCAAGAGAAGTGGACAGCGGCATCGCTGAGTCCTGAAATGGGTATGGATATTTTTCTAAATTATGATATAAGCTACGATGCATATGTCAAACGTATATCTATACTTGATGCTAATTAAAATTTTGATCGCAAAATGGATTATATCGAGTCATTCTCGGATGACAAGCATATAACACGCTATATTCTGGATATCCTAAAGCCGACAAATAATCCTTTATGACGTCCGGGAAATATCTAAACAAATGATTAGATCTTTGAATGGAAATTGAAAAAAGTACATTGACTAAACTTTATAAGAAATAAAGCCTTTTGTGAGTTTTTTAATTTAAAAATGGTTTAAATATATTTTGTAAATCTTGAGGTTTTATTTATATCAGTTTAAACTGGTTTTCTATTGGTTTTGCATAGTCTATCCAGTAAGCCTGCATTCTATGGGGTAAGTCAACTGCCCTAGTGCATGACTTTTGCAGTGACTTGGAGTTTTCGCATGCGGTCTAATTTAGTAAAGATTCTGTTGAGTGGATTCTTTTATAGACGTGGAGTCTTCTGAGAAGTTATCGGAAAATTAGTCCCAACAATTTGCAAAAAGAAAAAAAAAAGACATTTTTTACTATGAGTTTTTTTTAAAATATAGCTTTATATCTTTTGTCTATATTTTGACTAAATTAACTTTCTTTAATTAAAAGAAAATATCAAATATATTATTAAAATTGTTTTACAAACAGTAAAAATATAGAAAAATTCAAAACAACATAATAAAAATAAACTGATATTAGGTTTTTCAAACAATTTTTTTTTTTAAATATATATTTTCTATGTTCTACGAAGTTTAGAATATATCTTCTAAACTTTATATATGTTTTACGAAATTTAGAATATGTATTCTGCATTTTTAACATTTCTAAGAAGTTTAAAATACATAATCTTCACTTTCTACATGTTTTACAAAGTTTATAATTTATAATATTTATTTTCTACACATTTCACGGAAATTGGTATATTTTTTTTTAGAAATTTAAAATTTTGTGTATCATATATAAAAACAAAAATCTCATAAAAAAAATTTCTACTCTATTAAATGATACTTTGGTGGTGTTATTGGTTGTATAAGTTTAAATCTAACTCCATTAAATTTAAAATAGATGAGATTTTAATCTATTTATTTATTCATTCAAAATGATTCATTATCAATTTACAATCTTTTTTTATATAAACTTTTTAAATACCTAACATTGTATTTATAAATTCAGCATGATGTCATCCCATATATATTAATTAAGAAGCATTTTGAAAGAGTAACCTCATTTTTGTAAGTATTTACGGTGGTGCCATTATGCTGATGTGTCAATCCCACATTCATTTTCAGCTAATTATTTTAAAAAGACTTATATTATTTACATGATATGCCATTATATATTTTAGGTCTATACATATCTTATATTTTATTTAATAAATCAGCATTTAATTTGTTAAGATATTCTGTTTCTTTTACTTTTTATCAAAAATATATCATATTAATTATTTTCATAATTACATTTTCTACCAAAAATCTATTTTCTCTTATTTTTATTTAAACTTACTTTTGAAAAGTAAATAAATTATCACATCATCCAGATAATAAAAATATCTAGATTTTTTTGTACATGTATTATAATTTGAATT